AAGAAAATACTGTTTTTTTTGCAGTCTTTTATGACGCTGAAGAAGCAAATCCAGAGACAAATGCATTTCAAATTATTTTAAAGGTTCAAGATCAAATTCCAACTGTCCTGGCCAGAGACCCTGAGGCGAGAGCCAGTCCTGCCTCCGGCCGGCCAGCCGCGTGACCTTGGGCAGGCACTTCCCCCCTGTCTCAGTTTCCTCATCTGTCAGGAGGGGAGACGAGGCCCCTTCCTCGCGGGGTCGTCGCGGGGTCGCGCCACAGGGGGGATTCTTTGTTGCCTAGGAGACGCACGCGGGTCCCCTCCTTGGCTCCGGGCGGCCGGGATGGATGGTGCCCGACACCGAGGCACGCCGCGGCCCTGCCGGAGCGAGAGAGGGGGTCGCGCCTGAGGGGGTGCCTGCGACCGCGGGAGCGGGGCGCCGGAGGGAGGCTCGGCCCCGCCGCCTGCCCGTGGTCGCCGGCGGCCCCGCCGCAGGGCCCGCAGCCAGCGCTCCGGGAGCGCCCGCGGGAGGCCCGGCCAATCCCGGTCCGGCGAGCTGGGCGGGCGGGGGGCGCCGGGGGGACCCGGAGAAACCCGGCAGCGCGCACCGGGGCCCCAGCGTGCAGCGGAGAACGGGGAGGGCAGGAAGAGGCAAGGGGAGCGACGCCCCCGAAAGCAGCGCAGCCCCCGCGAGCAGCGCCGCGCGTCCGGGCGGAGGCGCCCACTCACCTGAGGCGCGGGTCCCGCCGTCAGTGCAGCAGCAGCTGTGGCGGCAGCGGCGGCGGCGGGGGGCGGGGGAGGCTCTGCGCCGCGCACGCGCCCTGGGGCCGCCGGGCCGCGGCGTGGGGCCCCGCCCACCTCGGGGACTACCAAGATGGTGGCTGGGCCGGGACGCCTCGCGGTGCCATCTTGGATGTAGTTTCTCTGGCTGAGGGGTTTCCTTGGGAGAACCTTAACCAGGACTCGCCGGAGGGAAAGGCGTTGAGTGCCGCCCCCTCCCTTCCGCAGCTCAGCCTCGTGAAGCCCCTCTGGGCCCTTGTGGCGGAGCCTGGCATCCTTCCACGTGGGCCCAGAGCATTGGTACCCGCGGTCACGTGGCACCTGGCACCGCGCTGAGCCCGGGGAAGGGGCTTGGCAAGTGATGGTGAGCACAGCACTTTAAAGAACTGCAATCCAAGACTCAGTCCTCCATTGCATCACTATGACAACGGCCTGCTGTACCACCTCCTTTTTGGGGTGGTGCAACATGAGAAATGGACTTATTTTTTTCCAAATAACACATAGTAAGCTTCAATGACCCAACAACTTAAGTAATACCAAAATGTGCAGGGCCAGGCTAGATCCCTTTCCCAAAAGATTTATAATTTAGTTAATCTTGTGAAAATGAATAAAGAGAAACCTCATTTTAAATGGCGTGAGGAATGCCAGAAGGGAGCTTTCAGACACCACCCTTCAACATGAAGTACAGATCCCAACTGGGAAGAATCTTCAATTACCAACCTCGGCAGAAAGAGATGCACCTTGCAGATTGATATTACTGTAAAAAAAAAAAAAATTCAACCAAGTAAATGTGAAGAACTGGCTTTATTAAGTGGTTCATTAATCCAGTAGCATCCCATCTAGCAACCAGAATACTCCATGAGGTTGTACAAAATGGAAGGTTTTTATAGGAAAAAGGGTGAAGCAAGGGAGTATTTAAAAGAGAAGAGGCCAGCTGGTGTGGCTCAGTGCTTGAGGTCAATCTATGAACCAGGAGGTCATGGATGGATTCCCAGCCAGGGCACACGCCATGTTGTGAGCTTCATCCTCAGTGAGGAGCTAGGGTAAGGTGACCAGATCGTCCAGGTGTTGGCGGGACAGTCGTGATTTCTAACAATTTTTCCCGCGTCCCTCGGCGTTTTAAAAAAGTCCCAATTTTTGGAAAGAATCTTTCCAATATTTCCAAAAATTGGGACTTTTTTAAAACGCTGCGGGGAAAAATTGTTAGAAATTAGGACTGTCCCGCCAATACCTGGACGATCTGGTCACCTTAGGCTAGGGGGAAGCAGCCCATCTATAATTCTCTCATATCATTGATGTTTCTATCTTCCTCTCCTCCTTTCCTCTCTGAAATCAATAAAATATTTTTTAAAAAATGAAGAAACATCAATGATGAGAATCATCAATTGGCTTGCAATCTAGACATGTGCCTTGACCAGGAATCAAATTGTTAACTCCTGGTTCATAGGTAGACTCTTAACTATAATACTAAGCCTGCAACCCAGGCATGTGTTTTGACCAGAATTGAATCAGTGACCTCTCGGTGTATAGAACGTTTCCCAACCGAGCCACAACTGTCAGGGTGACAGACTTTTAACATATAAGTTACAATGCCTACAATATTCCAGACACTCTGAGCAATTCACTCCACTCACCCACTGCCATCATTTCCCATCTATACTACTACAACAGACTGGGGTCTCTCACATCCATACCTTGCTTGCTTCTATCTATTCTCCATATAGCAACAAGAATTATCTTTTAAAAATAAAGCTGATCCCATCTTGCTCTTGAAACCTCCTAATGACTTCCAACTCTTTCTCAGGTGGCTCTTCCACTGGCATCAGCATTCCCGCTTTACTGGGCCTATTCTTTAGCTTCCTTCTCTCCCTTCTCAGGCCTTTGGAAATACTGTTCCTTTTGCCTCAAAAATTTGCCCTATTTAACTCCTTTATTCTTCTCGAATCAACTAAAACATCATTTCTGCAGAGAACTTGTCCCTTCTTGTTCCCTGTGTGCCCATTAGACTGTGAGAATCATGAGAGGAGGTCCCATGTTTGTTTTTGTTCTTTGCTCTCTACCCATTAACTAGAATTGTGCTTGGCATATAATAGCAGGGTCTCTGTAAATATATGAAAGAATAAGGAATACTATAGGTCAATGCAAGGAGATATCACCTCTCATTAGCTGTGCTTAGGCCAAAGTTTAAGACTTAACATTATAACTAGGCATTTAAATGAAATAGGTTTTATCTTATTAGGAGGATCAGAGAATAAAACAATAAATTGGTTGGTATTTTATCTAGCTAATGCCAAGGCTTATCTCTACACTACTGTTCACTTTCACAATTGGTAAAGAACCTTATTTTCTAAAACCTCCCTAACTTTTTTTATACACTCAAAATACACACAAAGACAAGGGAAAACTTTTAATTATGTACAATTTTATGATGCAGATTATTAAATACAGAGAACAATGAATCCAAGATTTAGGATGTTGACTCAATACTAACAACTGAAGCACATAATGGGCAGTAGAACTTAGAGAATGGATAGTATTTTCTCAATTTGGACATCCTGTGAAGTGATATACATATCCACCTGATATAATCAATGCCTACAACTTTTATACCTAAACTCATCCCAAGTCACACTAGAAAATTAGTCTCATTCCTTTATAACCAGAACCCAATTGACCTCTAAAATGTTTCATTGGATTTGATCCCAATGACTTAGGATGTTTCAAAACTTGAAAAACATCTACACAAGGTGAAGAAATGTGATCACAAAGAATATTTAAAAACTAACTACTAATTCTAAATGTCATTCCAAAACAAAAATTTTAATTATCTTGCACATTCTTGGAAAAAATGTCCATATAACATTCTTTTGGATACAAAAGTGTAACTTTTTTAAAATTGATTTTAGAGAGAGGGAGGGAGACAGAAAAACACTGCTGTGAAAGTGAAACATCCATCAATTGCCTCTGGTGCATACCCAGATTGGGGATCAAACCTGCAACCTGGTATGTGCCCTGACCAGAATTGAACCCATGACCCTTCAGTGCACTGGACAATGCTCCAACCAACTGAGCTATACCAGCCAGGACAGTGTTGTTAGAAAAACAACAAAGTACTCTTCAGTCAGCCAATTATCCTCAAAGGCAACTATCACCAGCTTAGATTGCCATGCAATCACCATGTGCTGGAGCATTCTTTCCACATCTCTCCTCTAGAGCACCTTGTGACACAAAGATGCATAAGGTCACTGACAAGATTTAGAACAATGTGCAGTAGGCAGGTTTTGTAACTGAAGCTTGAGCAGTTTTCGAGCTGGTGAAGAATCTAATTGTTGCGCACTTCTCTTGCCTACAAAGGAAAGGAGCCAAAAAATAAATTTCAATTGAATTCAAATAAGATTTATTGCAAACTTACTGCATGAACACTGTGCCAGACTAAAGGGCATAACAATGACAAATAAAAATCTCCGTTCTCAGGGAGATGATAGCTGGTAGGAAAGCCAGCTATAACTACTACCAAAATACATTGTAATAAAAAAATGAAGGTATGTATAGCAATAATTTAGAGCTGGAGTAAGTAAGGGCAGTGTCAGTGAATTTTTGAGGAATGAACAGGAGAAAAAAGGCAATGGGTATTTCTTAAATCTCAGATTTACTAAAATAAGATGGTTTATGGGAATTTAATTCTCAGTCTACTGAGAATTAGATGTTTTTCAAGTGTTTCTGTGGAATTTCCCATCAAATACGAGTATTCACAACATAATAGTTACTGTGAAAGTGGAGGAGGGGGAACAAACCACTTGATGTGGTCTTACCCTCTGAGACCATGTGCTAAGTAAGGGCAGTTTAAATCTGAAAGGTTATCCCTCTAGTCCAGTGGTTCTCAACCTTTCTAATGCTGTGATCCTTTAATACAGTTCCTTATGTTGTGATGACCCCCAACCATAAAGTTATTTTCATTGTTACTTCATAACTGTTAATGAATCGTAATGTAAATATCTGTTTTTTCTCATGATCTTGGGCTCTACAGCAGCGATTCTCAACCTGTGGGTCACCTAAGACCATCGGGAAACACAGATATTTACATTATGATTCATAACAGTAGCAAAATTACAGTTATGAAGTAGCAACGAAAATAATTTTATGGTTGGGGGTCACCACAACATGAGGAACTGTATTAAAAGGTAAGCGGCATTAGAAAGGTAGAGAACCACTGCTCCAGTCCCCTCACGAGATACTTACTGAGTTGTACTGACATCTTCTGGAAGCACTGGGTACTTTCGTCCATAAAGGCATGCAGCTGTTTCACTGACCCTTGCAATTCGTCCATCTGCAGATGAAAGAGCTATGAGCTGTAAGGGTCCACGGCTTCTTTGATGTTCCCTCAAACACGCCGGGCAAGTCCTGCTTGGAAGCCTTGCTTTTGTTGTTCTTTCAACCTGGAATGCTTATGACATTTTGTTTGCTCCTCCAGATCCACACTCCACTTCTTCACACTGTTCTATACCCCAGAAGGTTGACCGAGATAACCTCTAACAGGATCCCATGTCCTCTGAGTTCTGAGTGGGCCTGGTCCAGAGGGAGCCCAAGTTAGGGGGGGAAGCTGAATGAGGTCTGTGTATTTTTGCCCAGGCCTGCTCAGGAAAGGATCATTCTGAGTGAGCTGTGTCTCTTAACTGAAGGTCATGACTCTCTCAAAACAGCCACTATGGGACTTTCTCCACTCGGGTGCCACAGTAACTCTTCCTCCTCTCCTCCTGCAGGCCAAGGGGTAGTAAGAGCTCAGCTGCCCCATGTCCCTTCACTAACCCTTATGATTTCCCAATATCTACACTCTATACATAGCCCCTTATAAACTCTCCTTAAATTACACTTTATCAACTACTTCCTGCTGATACTTGGAACAATAAAATACTATTCTCCCAAATGTCCTCATGGCTCACTTCCTCATTTCTTTCCAGTCTCTGAAAATGGCTCTTTAGAGGGACTATCAACAACTGCTCTGTATCGTATCCCACTGCCCTCCTGTACACTGTCTCCCTTACTGTGCTTTATTAGCACTAATCACCACATATTGTTTTTTTTAATTGTCTCTCCATGTTTCATCAAGGTAGAGTTAAATATACTTACCTTATCTTATTAAACATATTCTCCAGGTCTTTTCATTTCCAAGGATAAGAAGGTAACAAGGCTGGATAACTTAAACAAATATAAACTCACCACCAATTCCATACAGTCAAAGACTTTGTTCTGGCTCTGTAATATTTTCTGGTAATCAGGCTTTGTATTAAGGACTTCATTCTGGGAAGACCCAAGATATGCTGTAGGTTCAACTTCAGTCATTTTTGTTTCAGTTGATCCACTAAAAAAAAAGGGGGGAAGCTTTTAAAGAATTTTTATAATCACTTTTTGCGGAAAATAATGAAAGATCACTTAGAAAAAAAGCCTCCAATAAAACTTCATTAACCTTGCCGGGACCGGTTTGGCTCAGTGGATAGAGCGTCGGCCTGCGGACTGAAAGGTCCCGGGTTCGATTCCGGTCAAGGGCATGTACCTTGGTTGCGGGCACATCCCCAGTGGAGGGTGTGCAAGAGGCAGCTGATCGATGATTCTCTCTCATCGATGTTTCTAACTCTCTGTCCCTCTCAATTCCTCTCTGTGTAAAATCAATAAAATATATATTAAAAAAAAAAAAAAAAAAAAAAAAACTTCATTAACCTGAAGCAACATTCCTTTTTATTAACAGTGGGGTCCAAAACCATTATCTGGTATTGATTTTTTAATAAAGAAAATTTGATTTTATTAATTTTTAGAGAGAGAGGAAGAGAGAGGGAACGATAGGAACAATGAAAGAAGAACATCAACATCAACTAGTAGCCTTCTGCATGCCCAACTTCTGGGGATTGAGCCAGCAACCCAGGCATGTGCCCTGACCAGGAATTGAACCTGCGATCTCCTGGTGCATTGGTCAACACCCAAACACTAAGCCACACTGGTCAGGCCAGTATTAATTTTTCTTTTTGAGGAAAAATTAAACCTAATTTATTTTTAATTTAAATGCTTTACTATTTAAAGTATTACATATATCCCCCCCCCCCCCCCCCTTGACCTCTCCTTGACGGTTCCCAACTCCCAAAACTTATTTATTTTTTAAAACCAGACCACTGGGAAAATATATCACAGTCTTAAACAGCAAACAGTCTATATTGTCATTTCAAGTAGTAAGTTGGTAAAAAGACAACAAGGTCCTTATAAAAATTGTAAGGTGCTAGATCTGGGGTAGGAATACTGCAGGACCAAGACAAAAGTGGTATTTGGTAATGGAGGGGAGGGTTGCCCCTCTTTTGCTCTAATGAAGCAACAATTCACCCCTGAGTTGCTTACTTTTTCTCCTTTAACCTTCCTGTTGCCAAAAGATCATCTTAGTAGGGCTCTGTTATTTGAGGGGACTAAGTAAGCAATACTGGGTTTAGGTTTCATTCCTGAAAACCAGGTTTTTTTAAAAAACTCCAGTACTTCATAACTTTCTTTTAAAAAAAATATTAGAGGCCCAGTGCACGAATTTGTGCACCTTGAAAGGAACTGGTAGACACAGGGGCGTGCCCCTGGCTGGCCCCTCCTGCCACAGCACCCAGTCCCTCTCTGTTGACAGCTCCATTTCTGCCACTGCTCTCACACACTGATGACGCTGGCCCGGCTCGTACCCACTGAAGGCGTGGAGTGATTGGGGCCAACACCAGCAACAGGTGCGAGTGGGGTCGGTGCTGTCAGTGGGTATGAGCGGCACCTGCTGCCCTGATCGTCCCTCAGGAGCAGGGGGAGGTGGAGAAGCCCTCAGGTGCGGTCAGAGCTGGAAGCCATTGCTCACACCCACTGAGGATCCCGAGCGATTGATCAGGATTGGCGCTGGGCACTGGCAGCGGATACAAGTGGAGGCTCCATCACCTGCAGAAGGTGCGAGTGGGGCCATCACTGGCCACGGATGTGAGAGGCGGCTGCTGGTCCCAATCTCCTCTCAGGAGTAGGGGAAGGTGGAGAAGCCCTCAAGGGTGATTGGGGCTGGCAGTTGCCACTTCACCCTGATGGCGCCAAGTGATTGGAGCCAGTGTCGGGCACCAGCAGTGGGTGTGAATGGGACCAGTGCCGACAGCAAGTGTGAGTGTCCGGAAGGAGTGCAGTGTGAGGAAGCAAATAATTTTCAGTAACCACCAGAGGCTTTCCTTGATGACAGTGGCCAGTGCCCTGCCTAGGTCTTGCACCCTCGCTCACCTGCTCCACCATCCTGAGCTCCACCATCCTGCAGCAGCCAATGCCCACCATGTTCTGAGCACTCCCCCATGTGGCCAATGCATGCTATAGCAACCAGTTATTCAGTTGTTCTGCCATTTGATCTATTTGTATATAAGCCTTTTATTATATAGAATATTCTATTGATTTTTTTTTACAGAGAGGAAGGGAGACGGATAGAGAGCTAGAAACATCGATGAGAGAGAAGCATTGATCAGCTGCCTCCTGCACACCTCCTACTAGGGATGTGCCCGCAACCAAGGTACATGCCCTTGACCGGAATCGAACCTGGGACCTTTCAGTCTGCAGGCTGACGCTCTATCCACTGAGTCAAATCAGTTAGTGCTTATTTCAGCTCCTCTCAACAGCCAGCACTGCACTGTAACATGAGGCCCTGCATCTTCCAGATATTCTCTTTCCAGACTCTTTACCATGGTGTCCACCGCCTCCTGCACCCAAAGCTGCTTCAGGTCCGCCTCGGCGACCCTGTGTTGCACTGAGCCTCGATGGCGTCTACATGGACTCATTAACTCTTTTACACCACTGGATGCCAGAAAATGCTAGAAGCTTCGTGTCAGTTAATCCCATTTAATAGTAAGGTCCATTTACAAAAAGAACTACAGTTGGAATAGAGTAAAGCGAAAGCTTGTTATCCTTAAGTCAATGTCTTTGATCTTCCACCAAAAAAATGCTAGGACACCTCAATTATCTAACTGAATATAATGAAGAGTTCATGAAAACTAATGACTCTTTAATAAGAGCAACTACTATAATTTACTGAATGCCAGATATTGATAAACACTTTCCATTTAACCTCACTTAACACTCACAATAACCAAATGAGACAGTACTAATATTATCTCCATTTTTTTTAAGATTTTTTTTAATATATATATATATATATATTTATTGATTTTTCACAGAGAGGAAGAGAAAGGGATAGAGAGTTAGAAACATCAATGAGAGAGAATCATCGATCAGCTGCCTCTTGCACACCCCCCACTGGGGATGTGCCTGCAACCAAGGTACATGCCCTTTGACCGGAATCGAACCCGGGACCTTTCAGTCCGCAGGCTGAAGCTCTATCCACTGAGCCAAACCGGTCCCGGCTTAAAGATATTTTTTATTATTGATTTCAGAGAGGAAGGGAAAGGGAGAGGGAGATAGAAACATCAATGACAAGAAAAAAATCCTGCACACTCCAAACTGGGGATCCAGCCTGCAACCCAGGCATGTGCCCTGACTGGGACTCAAACCGTGACCTCCTGAAGCTCAACAACTGAGCTACATCAGTTGGGTTTATCTCCATTTTTAAATGGGGAACTTCAGGTTTAGAGATTAAGTGGCTTGCCCAATATCATAAAATAAAGTAGCATTAGGGTTTAAACAGAAGCAGTCTGCTTCCAGAAGCATTCCTCTTAACCAATAAGCCTGTCCCATCAAAACTGTTTATTCTGAAACTGCCATATCTTATACATTATGTCTTCATAAAGAGAACATGTCAGGGCTGAATAAAGTAACTGATAACCATCAATTCCTGCATTGGGGAAAGTTTTTCAAACCGTATTCCTTAAAGCACCTCTCTTCTAAGAGGCCACTTTTGCAATTAAGAGTCTTAGCTACTTGCCAGGACCAGTTTGGCTCAGTGGATAGAGCGTCGGCCTGCAGACTGAAGAGTCCCGGGTTTGATTCCGGTCAAAGGGCATGTACCTTGGTTGCGGGCACATCCCCAGTGGGGGGTGTGCAAGAGGCAGCTGGTCAATGTTTCTCTCTCATTGACGTTTCTAACTCTCTGTCCCTCTCAATTCCTCTCTGTGTAAAATCAATAAAATATATTTAAAAAAAAAAAAAAAAAGAGTCTTAGCTACCATTTTATAGTTGGGTTCCTTCCTAAGATTCTGTTACTATAATAAATAAAAATCTTGCACTTTCCCACTTTATTGTGCCTTTAAAACCCAGACAAAGATCCTCTCTTTCCATCACCTTATTTCATGTCTTTGCATTTCCACAAAGCCCTTGGCCAGGGTTCTCTCTCACACCTGCAGCCCAAAAGCCATGTGCCCACTAAAGTCCCCTGACTAATGTTTTTGGCCCAGCCCAGGATTCCAAAAGGAAGAGATGTGCCCGTCTCCACCAGGATGTAGAATGGCAGCCAAAGACACAGAACACAGGCAACTCTGTTGACTGAACATAGTGATGCCAACTCCCTTCCTTTCCTTGACTCTCCATTTAAGGTCAGAGAGTGCTAATAAATATTTTACAGTGCTTTGATGAGTTGATTAGCCTATGAGATAAAATTCGTCATTCAATTTGTGTTAATGAAACTAAAATCCATTCAAATCAAACTCCACAAAGTGAAAAGATAGCTTCTGAATTCCAGTTGTAGATCTAACCTGGATAAGATCTCCTCAGCCTCCTTCTGATAATGCAGCAAGAGTTGATCCCAAGTCTGACGTTCTAAAGAAAACCTACAGGATCCGAAAAAAAATTCTGTTAATTTTTGTTTATCTCATTGTGAATCACTCAGGGCACCAATAGTACATTAGGTATCTACTGTGTTCTAAGTTGTGAATAAAAAGGTCATTAAAGAATTAGAAACCATGACTGATTTAGAGGATGTTAATTTAATAAAATCAAACACAAGTTCTTAAAATTAAATTAACATCCTTATTCCCTAGACTACATTCTATGAAATTGGCCATAAGCACAGACCATAAGACCCCAATATGCAGATAAGTTCTAGTGTTGTTACACTAATATTGACACTCAGAACAGGATGTTCATTATTCATTTTCCCAAGTTTAATTATTTTCCCCAACTGAACTTATATTTTTTCAACAAAGGTTCATTCATTTTCACTTACTTTGTTATGTATTCCTTCATCTCAGCCACTGATGCTTCCAGAGACAAATCTGATGCTTTTCTGGAATACAGATAGCATTGAGTGATAAACACAAATCTTTCAAGAACTCTTGCTTTTAATATGATAACTTACATAATTTCAAAAGGCAATAAAACATGTTCAGAATTTATCTTTTGTCTTGGCCGGTGTGACTTAATTGGTTGAGCAACATCCTGTGTATCAAAAGGTCACAGGTTCGATTCCCACTCAGGATATGTTCAGTCCCCAGTAGGGGTGTGTTTGGGAGGCAACCAACCTACGTTTCTCTTTCACATCTATGTTTCTCTCTGTCTCCCTCTTTCTCTAAAAATGAAACAAACAAAAAAAGAATTTATCTTTTGCCTGGCTGGTGTGGATCAGTGGTTGAGTGTCAACCTATGAACCAGGAAGTTAAAGTTCAATACCTGGCCAGCGCACATGCCCAGGTTGTGGGCTCAATTCCTAGTAAGGAGCATGCAGGAGGCAGCCAATCAATGATTTTCTCTCATCACTGATGTTTCTACCCCTCTGAAATCAATAAAAAAATAAAAGTTTTTTTTTTAAGTTCAAAACCTAAAAAATAAAGTAAAAATAAAAATGCTATATTAAATAAAAGAATTTATCTTTCAACAAATATTTATTTCTTAGTCTCTCACTTTTATATTAGATCTCTTCATCTTTTCTTTCATCAATGCCAATTCACACATAAAGCACCTTCCTTTAATTTCTTCCTTGCGTAAAAAGTCTGTGACCCTCTACTGCATTCAGAAGAAAAGCAAAACCTCCTTAATCTGGTACTTAAGGATATCTGTTCTCATTCCATCCAGTTCATTAACTTTGATTCCTACTGTTACCTTTTATCTATTCTGCCCCATATAATCTCACTCACCCTGACCCTGAATATCTGGGGTTTTCAATCTCTAAACTTCTGTTCACATCAGTTTTTAGTGTCTTTCCCTTCCACCAATAAAAACCTTAACATTTTTTAAGGCCCAACAATACTTTTTCATATGACTATCTTGTCTTCCTCCTTAAACTAAAGCTATCGCTGTATAGGGGACTTACACCAATGGCTCAGCACCGCTTAATGACTAATCCTAATGGAAAGCACTGAAAATGCCAACATTTTGCAAATGTAATTGGTATTCTACCTGACAAAAACAAATGAATTGTTCTACCTTTCATGTTTTTCTACCAAGGCCTATGACACACAGCCTCCATCAATGCTGGCTGAGATGCAACAGCTTATGGCTTAAATTCATTGCATTAAAAGAGACACTATGTTAAGTCAAATTTTATTTATTTGTTTTTAGCACTCAAAAAGCCTTTGTTTTTATTTAGCTTTCTGATTCTGTGCTTGTGCCTTCAACACTTGCACAACGATTTTCTGCTCCTCAATAAGGAAAGCACACTTAATCCTGTCACAGGCAGATTTAGCACACATGGATACACCATAAGCCCGGCTGGCATGTTTTTTCGTTTTAGACAACCTCATTAGAACTTTAGTTCTCATAGCACGAGCTTCACAAAGTTGCCTGGGCTCACACCATGTGCAGATTTTAGTGCTTTCCCAACCTTCTTGGTATAAAGATAAAAAATGGCCGAAACCGGTTTGGCTCAGTGGATAGAGCATCAGCCTGCGGACTGAAGGGTCCTGGGTTCGATTCCGGTCAAGGGCATGTACCTTGGTTGCGGGCACATCCCCAGTAGGGGGCGTGCAAGAGGCAGCTGATAGATGACTCTCTCATTGATGTTTCTAACTATCTCTCTCCCTTCTTCTCTGTAAAAAATCAATAAAAATATATTTTAAATAAATAAAATAAAATAAAGGTAAACAATGTTTCGGGGTTTGGGACAGCCTATTTTGTTAGAGGCTGTATTGTAGAACCATCTCTGGTGGTATGTCAAAAGCTGGACCATTCTGAATGCCTAAAGACTCCATCCCCAGAAGAATGAGTCAAAATATTTTCCATTACCCGAATACCAATGTTAAATTTAAGAACAGATGGAAAAGTAGATCTTTGCAAAGTCAAAACTAAAAAGTTTATGATGTAAGCTCTAGTGACATGATTTATTACAGGGCAGGGCTCCATACATATAGAGGAACAACAAGTTTAGGGGTGGGATTTCTAAATTCTCTCAATATTCTTGCTTGTAAAACAGCTAAAGAACACAAGTTTACAGTGGAACCTCAGTTCTCCAACTTAATTTGTCATGAAAGGTTGTTCAAGAAGTCATTTAGTCAAAAGACAAAATTTTTTCCCATCCTGAGGTGGAGGGTTGAGGTGGGCTAGAAGGGGTCAATGGGGAAAAACAGAGAACATCTGTAACACTTTCAACAATAAAGATTTAAAAAACTGTTTTTAACGATTCCCTATTTTAACCTTTTTTAAATATTCAGTACCTGTCTAATGTACTGTTTTTCTGACTGTTTGTTTGTTTGTTTGTTGCCTCACCTGAGGATATTTTTCCACTGATTTTTAGAGAGTGGAAGGGAGGGAGAGAGGCACAGAGAGAAAAAGAAACATCACTGTGAGAGAGACACATGGATTGGTTGCCTCCCGCATGTGCCCTGAAGTACGTGCCCTTGACTGGAATCTACCTGGGACCCTTTAGTCCGAAGGCCCCAACAACTTTTGTTAGAGAACCAAATTGTTTGAGATGGGAGACATTAGGAACTGAGGTTTGGTTGTTGCATGGCTAGCAAAAAAATTTGAAGAATGCTTTTCAAATTTTAGAAGAATAAAAAAAAAAAATTTGAAGAATGCTTTTCCTTTCACCTTTCCATAGCTGGTTCCTTCTCGCCATTCAGGTCTAATAGGTCTCAATTTAAAGGTGAATTCAGTAGAGGTCTAGCTAACCTACCCCCTCAAGTCACTATTATTGACTTCTTAGATCACTATCTAAATCATTGTATTTGTTTGATTGTATCTCCTATTAAAGTATATCACAATAAAATACCTTGTTTGACTTAGTTATTTATCACTATTTTCTCCAGCATCTAGAAGAGCCTGGTATGCAGAAGATGCTGAATGCTTGATGAGTGAATGAATTGTCTAATTATAATAAAAAGCCTTAATCCAATTATAATTTAGGACAGAAGGGCAATTGAACTTACCCCTCTGAATCTTCAAAACATTTCTGTAGAGTTCCATTACTTTCCAGTCTGTCTGCAAAATGTTTTAATTCTTCAGAAAGAGAAGATGCTAGAGAGAATAAAATTACATGTTATAAGTAGAATATAAATTTTCACAGGAAGCTGCTGACAAAGACCTAACACACTTAAGGTTGTCTCAGCACTTCGGTCCCATCACATTCTGACACTCTCACCTATTCAAAAAAGTGGTATAAATATGCAGAAAGACTGTATCTTTTTTTTTTTTGGGGGGGGGGTAGATATAGGTAAAATGCAAGACAATTCTTCTTTATGACATTTATTGATAGTGGGTTTTTTTAGATCTGACTGGTGAAAAAGCAGTTAAAAAGATATATCTGCACTGACATTTCATTCTTTTCAAGGGATTTGAACTGCTGGTGCTGAAAGAAAATATATCACAAAGTCAAGCAATAGGAAAGAGTGTTATAAAAAAATGTTGAAGGCAAATAAAGCATTATAAGCATAAGGTAAAAACAGTTTTCTGCTTATACCTGGAAGAGTCCACAATTACATTCAGGTAAAGAATAAGGAAGGAAAAGAATGTTAAATAGCTATCAAGATAACCTTGACATATCTACTCTAATTATGGTCCAATTCTCAGATAATTTTAATTAACAAGTAAGTCTGAGTTCATGTATTTGCTTAGTTTGACTCTGGATGATTGTGTAGTTACTGTAAGGAAAACAGCTACTTCCTAGATAGCTGAAAACTAACTCCTGGGAAAGAATATTTGTAATTTATATCACTGATGAACAGCTAATTTCCTTAACATAGATAGTTTCTACAAATCAATATAAGCACCACATGCCAGCTTTCAAAAATGAATGAAGGATATAAACAGAAAATGAAGAACCTATAGTTCTAAATAATATTTAAAAATGTTTATCCTCTTCGAAAAACAAACATTAAAATTACAAAATACCTTTTGTCATCTGTAAAACATCTGAACTATTTGATAAAACTGTATTGGTAAATGTGAAAAAACAGATATGCAAACAAATATATTTGCATATTTGCTGGTGAGAGAATAAAATGAAACCTTTCTAGAAGGCAATCTGGTAATTTTTATCATTTTGTTTGACCTATTTTATTGCAACTCTAGAAATTTATTTTTACTTGTATATGTGCCAAAAGGCATGTGTAAAAAGGTATTTGCCCTAGCTGGTGTGGCTCAGTTGACTGGAGCATTGTCCTGTATACCAAAAGGTCATGGGTTCAATTCCTAGTCAGGATACATGCCCAGATAGTGAGTTCAATCCCTGGTCAGGGTGTGTATGAGATAGCCAATTGAAGTTTCTCTCTCTCTAAAATCAATTTAAAAACATATCCTCAAGTGAGGATTAGATTAAACAAAAAAGTATCCATTACTCTATTCATTGTAATAGCAAAAGACTGAAAACCCTAAAAGCCCACAATAAGAAAACTGGTTAAATAAAATATGGTACATTTATAAAATAGAATATCATGTGGCTACCAAAGTGTCAAGACAGCTCTACATGTACAGTATGGAATAATCTTACCTAATAACAGACAAACATGTAAACTGACTATACCTCCGCTATGCCCACAGCCAATCATGAATGAGTATGCAAATTAACCCACCATCTTTGTCATGTTAATTTGCATAAGCAGGCAAGGAGCAGCCAGGCAGGATGCCAGCTATGAGGGGGAGGAGGTGCGCGGAGGAGCTACAGGAGTGGTGCTCTGGCTGGGAGTGAGGACTTGGCAGCTGCCCAGTGGCTGGGAGCGAAGCCAGGGAAAGGAAGGCCTAATTCTTACACAAATATCGTGCAACAGGCCTCTAGTCTTCTGCAATATAAACTATTAGGTAAAAAAAAAAAAAAAAAAAAAGACAAGGAAAAGAACAGTGCAGATAGTATTACTTGATTTTAATGTATAATTGTTTGCAAATGCAATATCTCTGCAATGATACACAAGAAGCTGGTGGCTACGGTTGCCTCTGTGGAGAGGAGCTGCGACTATGGTTTAGAGTGGAGGGCAGGCTTACCTTCTGAACTTCATTAGCATATATTATTATTTCCTTAATCCTTACCTGAGGATATGTTTTTTAAAAAATATATATTTTATTGATTTTTCATAGAGAGGAAAGAAGGATAGAGAGCTAGAAACATCGATGAGAGAGAATCATCGACCAGCTGCCTCCTACACACACCCTACTGGGGATGTGCCTGCAACCAAATGTACATGCCCTTGACCGGAAACAAACCTGGAACCTTTCAGTTCATAGGCCGATGCTCTATCCACTGAGCCAAACCGGTTTTGGCGAGGATATGTTTTTATTGATTTTTGAGAGAGAGGAAGGAAGAGAGAAACATCCATCGGTTGCCTCTAATATGCGCCCCAACTGGGAATCAAACCTGTAACCTTTTGGTGTATGGGACGATGCTCCAACCAACTGAGCCATCCTACGAGAGCAACATATATATATTTTAATGCCATCCCAAGGGGGGCTGGTTTTGTAAGGTAGCAGCTCCTCTAAATGGGGATCCTAAAAGTGGGGCTTCAACTGACTTTAACAGAAGGTACAGTTCAAGATCAAAGCTCACTTGCCTATTTTGAGCAACTTACCTTTGGCTCTAAAACTTTCAAGACTGAAGCCCGCCGTGCCCTTTAGGAAAGGTTCAAGTTTCTGAACAGAGAACTAAATAAAGAAAAGCATTTTTAGTTCAATCAAGATTTTCCAGGCCAGTCCCAACAAAGCTCATATAATTTTATATGCTTAATAAATGTGAAATAAACATGATTTAATTTTCATACCTAAGATTTTTCATATAACAAATAAATAGATCAGGCTAAAACTATGTTAAGACTATACATTTTGATTTTTGGCTTGAGAAAAAAGTGGTAATTTAATTCACACAAATTGAATTGCTTATCTAAACTAATCATCAATGTTATTTATATAATATCAATTATATTAATTATATAATGCTGACTTAGTATGTAGTCAGACCTCCAATGTCTGTTTGAATTTAGATTTTGACCTACTCTTACTTTAAATTATCATTATTCCCTGTCATTTGTTGCCAATGGCAAGAGATATTAGATTGGGGAAATCTCTCAGCAACAGTACCAATGGGATAAAGAGCCTAGTCCAGACAAAATCAGCTGCTAGGATTATATCTGGCTTTTAAATTAATCCAAACTAGAGAGAAACATCTTTTAATTTTAACAGATGTATTACAGTTTTGATCTCTTTTTGGGACTCTAACAGCAACAGCTTACAAAAAGCATTTCCCAGTCCCGAGAATCTCACCTGGAAACTGGAAAGCAGGAGAGACCCAAGCCGTTTGCTTTCTGCTAAGTCAACGCTGATGGATCTGCTGAGCTCTAACATAAAATATCAATTTAAGAAGTGGTATACTCACAGTTATCAAAATAAAAAAACCTGTAAAATTTCCTCTCTCTTGATGCAGTCCATTTTAAGGCAAGAATGCTCAAGCAGCCTTCTTTATTAAAGGGAGAATTCATATTAGTCACATCTAATTTTTTTCAGGTTCAACGAGAAATGAAATTTACCCATTTGTGCATTCTAGCTTTAAAAAGTTATAAGAACCTTCTATGTATTACATTAAAACTTTGTCTTATTAAACAAGATAGGTACATAACATTTTTTGATGTTTTATATTCACCATTCAAAGAAAGAAGATGGAAACATTTGAACATTTTTATGACAGGTACTGCAGTATGCTTGAAATACATTGTCTTAAGAGCCCTCTCATAAACTATGCCTCTAATATGCGCCCCAACTGGGAATCAAACCTCCTTTTTACAGGTGTGGAAACTGAACCTCAGAGGAGAGATGACTTGAGGCCAGAAACCAGTGAAATAAGAATTCAATCCCAAGTCTGCCACCAAAGCCTGTTTTTCCCAGTAATACCATGCTGTCTTCTACAATGAATTGATAACATTAATAGTAATTTGTTGAACATTTGTTATGTAAAAAACTTTTTATTAAACACTACACATACTTCATTAAAACTTGAGGCAAATATCTTATCGATTCCATTTTACAGATGATGACACATAGGCACAGATTAGGTAATAGGTAACTTGCCAAGGTCACATGGTGAGACAGCCTGAATTGGATGGGCATTTTACATAATTACGTCACTGAATCCTTAAACAAGTACAGGATGCAGACACTGTTTTTTCAATTTGCCCATTTAAAAACATGTTGTTATACAGCAAAGGAAGTTTGCTTTGAGAATTTGAGAAATACATGTCTTTTCATCCTCTGCCTTTAGCTGGTTGTATCTTTAAAGTTCTTTTGTCTCTTTTTTTGATAGCTTCTCACTGCTGTTAGTTAAAAAAACACACAGAATACCTTCTGCCTATAACCAAAGAAATCTGGCAAGTGGCCAGGAAAAACAAGGAAATAATCTTATTACATCGGTGATTTTTCTGTGATACAGAATGTTAGGTTCACATGCTCTGGAACAGAGATAAAGGTTGGGGTGACCTTAGAGAACTGATGCTTTCTTGGCACACCTATGCAATACATGAGCATAATTGGGGCAGCAATTTTTCTGATATGTTAAGTGGCTGTTTTTATCCTGTTTGCCTGTTAGACATAGGCCATCTGGAAGTGAGATAACATCTTTAAAATAATCACAATAGCTTAATATTTGAGCTATTTACCATGTGCCAAGTATTGTGTTATAACCAATTCATTTTTTCCTCATATAATTTTATAAAATAGATATTATTTCATCCCATTTACTGATGAGGAACATAAGACAAAGGAGGTTTAAGTAAGCCACTTAAGGTCAGTTTTTCCTGAAATATGCTAGAGACTTTCCATGTTAAATCTTGCACTTCAATAAACTGAGGCTCAGAGAGGTGATGTGATTTACTTAGCCACATAGCTGATAAGTAGCAGAGTCAAGTCTGTCCCACTACAATCTTTCTGCCAAGTCAAGGCTGTCCCATTACGTTCTTCCTACCAGACCTCACTGCCTTCTTATCTGAGCCGCAACTCCACATCCTATGTGTGCAGCACCCCACCTGTGATGCCCTGATGAAAGGGAGGCAGTGACTTCCGCCTGTTGACTTCTTTCATACTTGCTCGCCGCCAGGATTGCCTTCTGTCTCGATGATGAGCAGACTGTTCTTGGGGAGACAAATGAAGAGACCTGGGCTGGAGTGCTTCCTCGTGGCTGAGTTCACAACACTCTCCTTTTTTAGGGCTACAATCAACGTGAATTCCTTCCTTTGAAACTCCTTGAGTCATCTCCAGGGAGGCAGGCGATTTATTACACACTTCCACAGGATTGGCATTTGATTCCAATGGATGATCATGAGCCTTAGATGTCACTGGTTCCTCTTCTAGCACTTGTTATAAAAAAGTCAAAATATAAAGTCAAACCCACAACTGAGTATTTGTGCAAAAAAGTGGAAATAGAAAAGTGTATGCCCCAGATCATGGAGACACTGAGGAAGTACCTGTGCAAATACACAAATATGTGACTCCAGCTCCACCAAGAGCCAGGAAACCATGTGAGAATAGCTAAGAAACCTGAACCCAAGGTAAAAGGTCCAAAACTCACCTTCTGCCGTCTCTGATCTAGTCACTGAAGTCATCCTGGGTGGAGAACCCTAAAATGGGAAAATGAGGTGATCTGTTCTTCACACTTCCCCAGTCTCACCGGGGTTTTACTACCCAGGAATGGGCCTTGTGCTTTCCAGCCTCTCTGAACTGCCCATCTCTTTCCCATGAAATTTACCTGGCAAGGCCCAATGTCGCCTCGCCCACCACGTCCACAGAGACCATTAGCAGGGTTCATCATCTATTGTTCTGTATTTCTACAGAACTTGTCACTGGAAATACTTATATCTCCCTTAACACATAACCTATTTTATTTTCCAATTATTTTGTGTCTAACTAGTCCCTAATTTCCTAACTGGGTGATATTATGACCTACATGGTCTTCCAAACTAGAAAAATCAAATTATCCTTTGCATTTTACTCTTAAAATTATCCAGATCTCTTGCCGAAACCGATTTGGCTCAATGGATAGAGCGTCGGTCTGCGGACTGAAAGATCCCGGGTTCTATTCCGGTCAAGGGCATGTATAGTACCTTGGTTGCCAGCACATCCCCAGTAGGGGGTGTGCAAGAGGCAGCTGGTCGATGTATCTCTCTCATAGACATTTCCAACTCTCTATCCCTCTCAATTCCTCTCTGTGTAAAATCAATAAAATATATTTTTTTAGCCAAGACCGGTTTGGCTCAATGGATAAAGCATCGGCTTGGGGACTGAAGGGCTCCGGGTTCGATTCCGGTCAAGGGCATGTATCTTGGTTGCGGACATATCCCCAGTAGGGGGTGTGCAAGAGGCAGCTGATTGATGACTCTCATCGATGTTTCTAACTCTGTCTCTCTCCCTTCCTCTCTGTACAAAATCAATAAAATATATTTAAAAAAAATATATATATATATATATATATTTTTAATTATCCAGATCTCAAATCCCATCCATTCTAACAGCCTCTCTACATCTTTTTTTCAAAATATATTTATCAGAAGTCATCTCCTTCTGTCACTATACAGGGAGGGGGAAAAGTAGGTTTACAGATGTAAAACAAAACAAAACAAAACAGTACAATAAATAATGCAAGAATAAACTCTGCTCTGCATGCTCACAACTAAAAACCTACTTTTGCTCCACCCTTTATATTTGACCCCCTTTACCCTTTGTCTTCGCCCCACCTCCCTTCTCCTCTGGTAACCACCACTCTTTGGCCTGCGTCTATGAGTTTGTCTCTAAATCTTTTCTCCACTTCCACTTCCTAGTTTAGTTCAGAACTCACAACCTCCCCCACCTCCCACCCCATCCACCCAGAAATCCTGTCCACTGGTTTTCCTATATCCAGCACTGTTCCTCTCCTAGCCATTCTTTAGACAGCAGCAGCGATTTTTCCAACGCATTCAACATTAGAAAATAGCGTATTTTTCATACGCTATTCCCAACCTACCCATGTCTGCTCTCCTGCTAGCCCACATCCTGCCACCACGTTTGAATCTTTGCATATACAGCCTGTAAAACGGATTCATCCTTCCCAACCTAGCTCAAAAGTTAAGCTTTCACACCACTTCTCTTTCCTAGCAAGGGGCTGTAAAGTCTGTTTACATGTCGGTCGCCCCAGACGCACTGTCTCTGTATTCCTAGTGCATCTCAGCAAGGACGGACCGGAAGACAGCAGGGACCAGGCTGAGGCATCTCTACACTGGCCGTGCTTACCCCTCACTCCCAGCGGAAATCTGTACGGGGAGGGGCGCGAGGGGAAGGGGAGAAGGCTAGTGCTAAGTAAAGAGAAATGAATATATCTGGAGGGACGACACAGATATAGGCCATGGATCTACATCCCCGCAGTTATAACAATCACAGATTCAAGCCTGGAAATAACAGCAACTGTCATTGGTTAAGCTGCTTGTTAAACCCTTATTATATGCCAGGACCTGTGTTATCTGTGACCGCTTTGTTTCCATCATTATCTCTTTACCCCATTTAATCCTTTGCACAGCTCCATAAGAACTGTCGTCCTTCCCTCCTTGCAGACAGAGGAACTGAGGTTCGGAGAGCAAAAGCCTGCCTGGGGACAGAGGCGGAATTCGGTGACCCACCCCAACCCGAGACCGCTGGCTCTGCACAGGCCAAGGGAGAGGCGCGATCATGCTTGGGTTTGCTCTCCCCCAGGAGGCCGCGGCGCCTCGGGGCACCCCCAGTGTCCGCTGTCGGGGGGGCGCGGCGCCCGGCCAGGACTGGGTTGAGGTCCGACGCCAAAAGGGCCGGTGCGAGAGTGAGGGGGGCCGCGTCCGGGGAAAGGTATGCGACTTCCTGACCTCAGAGCGACACCCGTTCAGTCCGAAGCCTCCGTTCTCAATACAGGACGGCAGGTCCCTCTCCGCGGCCCCGCGTCAGTCCTGGGCCCCCTATACCTCTGATTTCTGGACTAGGTCCCGGGCGCCTAGCACGGACCACGCCCCGCGCCGCTGCTTCCGCCGCCTCCGAAATCTCCCGCCAACTCAGGGCGCATGCGCGGCCGGCGGCTCGGGCTCAATTACGCGCACGCGCAGCGCCTGCCTCCTTCAAGGCGCATGCGTACACTGGTATTTACCCTCTGGCGAGCCCCGCCTCCGCCGCCGCTTTCTCCGCCCGGAAGTGGCCACGTTACCGTCTCCCTGCGCTGCCACGCCCGGAGAGGCCCCTCCGGGGACCTGCCACCGCGTCTTGACCTTTTGCGCCCCGCGGCCCAGAACCCATCTCAGATGGGGAAACTGGGTCCTAGAGGTGACCAGACGTCCCGATTTTTAACAGTTTGTCCCGCGTCCCGCAGCGTTTTAAAAAAGTCCCGATATTTGGAAAGAATTTCTCTGATGATTAGTGATGTTGAGCATTTTTTTTTTTTCATGTCTCTTGGCCATCTGTATGTGCTCTTTGGAAAAGTGTTTATTCAGGTCCTTTGCCCATTAAAATGTGAACTGTGTCTCCCAGGGAAGACTGGAGCTATGAACTGTTTGCTTCATTCTTTTCTCCTGCTTTAGCACCTTTTCTCCTCTGTGGCCCTTTCAATATATGGCAAAGTTCAAGAACGCTGTTTTGCAGTCTCATTGCAGGATACCCTCTCCCCAATTGCCTGATGCTCCTCTGCCCACTCCCATAGCTTAAAATTTTTTTTTTTTTCTTATTTGTTGATTTGAGAGAGAGGAAGAAAGAGAGGAACATTGATTTGTTGTTCCACTTATTTATACATTCATTGGTTGATTCTTTTTTATTTTATATTTTATTGATTTTTTACAGAGAAGAAGAGAGGGATAGAGAGTTAGAAACATCGATCAGCTGCCTCTTGCACACCCCCAACTGCGGATGTGCCCCCAACCAAGGTACATGCCCTTGACCAGAATCAAACCTGGGACGTTTCAGTCTGCAGGCCGACGCTCTAGCCATTGAGCCAAACCAGTTTCGGTAGTCTATTCTTGATTGAACCCATAACTTTGGGGTTGTCCAGACCCCATAACTCAGTTGCTTGTTCTAACCAACTGAGTAACCCCTCCAGGGCTCCAATAGCTTCTTGCCTCTGCTCCTTTGATTGCCATTCCTTCTACCTGGGAAGACTTTCCCTACTTTTTTCTGGAAATTTTCTCTAATTCTAACTCGAAGCTGAGGATTCATCTGTTAGAGTCTTCTCTAAGGTTCTAAGCTGAGAACCAGATGTCCCTTCTATACTCCCAAGAGCCCAGCCTGTGCCTTTTTCACTATTCCTGTTGGCCCCAAAGAGCAGGCTGCTTCCTCAGTACCAGGTATGATGCCATGAAAAATGTCTTCCTGCATGTATGGTCCTTTCAGATCTGCAATCTCTAATTGTTGTATTTATGAACAGTCCACAAAGTCTGAACGAGAGGTCAGGGAGTGGCAGCTGGAGCATGACTGGTCATCCTTCCATAGCAGCTGTTGTCCTTGGAATGTTTTTTCTTTTCTTTTTTTAAAATGTATTTTATTGATTTTTTACAGAGAGAAAGGGAGAGAGATTGAGAGCTAGAAATGTCGATGAAAGAGAAACATCGACCAGCTGCCTCCTGCACACCCCCTATCGGGGATGTGCCCGCAGCCAAGTACATGCCCTTGACCGGAATCAAACCCAGGACCCTTCAGTCCGCAGGCCGACGCTCTATCCACTGAACTAAACCGGTTTCGGCTGGAATGTTTTTTCTGATGGGAGGCAGAATCCTGCCTTCCTGAAATTCCTATCATGTTTTTAGCCTGCTGGCTCCAACAGCCATCTGAAAGCAGAGATTTGTCCTGGCCAGTGTGGCTCAGTGGTTGAGCGATGATCTGTGACACAGGAGGTCATGATTTGATTCCCAGTTGGGGCACATGCCTGGTTGTGGGTTCTGTCCCGAGTGTGGAGTGTGCACAAGGCACTTGATCAATGATTTTCTCTCATCATTGATGTTTCTCTCTCTCTCTCCCTATCCTTTCCTCTCTGAAATCAATAAAAATATTTTTTTTAAAAAAATAAAATGAAAGCAGGAATATGCTCTTGGTTCCTGAATAACACTTGCTGAGAGTCAATGGTACCCAGTTCCTTCTGTGTCCATCTACTCTTCCAACTCCTCATTTGCCAACATCCCAAGAACAGATCACAGTGTTCTTTTTCTTTTAAATACATTTTTATTGATTTCAGAGAGGGAGAGGGATAGAAGCAGCAAGGATGAGAGAGAAGCATTAATTGGCTGCCTCCTGTAGGTCCCCCACTGGGGACTGAACTAGCAATCTGGGTACGGGTGCTTGACCCGAATCGAACCCTGGACCCTTCAGTCTGCGACTGACACTCTATCCGCTGAGCCAAACAAGGTAGGGCCAGAACACTGTTCTGATCCAGAGCTGGTCATCCTGGAGTACAATGAGAATATAGCTTAATGGAATCCAGATCCAATACTTTCTCTGTCTCCTTTCCCTGCTCTCAATTCTTCCACAGCTCCCTAATGTCTACAAATGTGGATATTTGTCTCCTCATAAGGCACTGTGTGACCAAAGATTCTTTTATCGTTACCCATTTCAGTGACATAAAACTTCTTACAGTTTCCCAGTTCTGCTCTGCTCTTTCTACTAGGCTTTCACACATGCTGTTCCCTCTCCCTGGAACCATCTCTCCTCATCTCTTGCCACAACACACCACCATCTCAACCTTCAAATGCCCTGTCCTCCGATAAGCCTTTCCTGATTCCTCCAGGCTTCCTGAGTGCCCTGTGATTGACATCTGCTTTCCTGTCTTCTAGGCCCATCTCTTGCATTCTCACTGCCTAGCACAGGCTGTTGTTAGATCCTCAAAACAATTTTTGTGGTCAGCTTCCAAGATGGCTCTCATTGGTCCCTGCTTCCTCGTGTTCATGCCTAGTGTAGTCCTCTCCCACACTGCATAGGGTTAATCTGTTTAACCAACAGGACATTGCAGAAATGATAACGTGATTTTCAAGGTTTAGTCATAAAAGACATTGTGATTACTATCCTGCTCTCTCAGAGATCACTCACGCAGGGAAGCTAGCCACCATGTTGTGAGGATACTCAAGCAGCCTCGTGGAGAAGTCCACGTGAGAAGGAACTGAGACCTCGTGCCAACAGCAAACACTGACTTGCCAGGCATATGAGCCACCTTACAAATGGATCTTCCTGTCCTTGTCAAGCCTTCACATGACTGCAGCCTGATTGACATGAGACCCTGAGTCACAATTACCCAGCTCCTGAATTCCTAACCCACAGCATCTGTGACATAATGAATGCTTTGGAATAATTAATTATACTGTACTAGATAATTAACACATGTCTAAAGTGTCCTTTTTTCCCCATGATAATTTTTAAGTCTTTTGTAGAAAAGTTCAATTCCACTTTTGAGCACTCTGCATATTTGTTCAGTGGTCACATCCCATTTCATGGAAGACTCTGAGATGTCTGTAGTCAGCAGCCGGGAACACCTGGTGGCCCCTCCCAAGAGGCCCCAAACCAGCCCGCTGGCTGTGGCATTCCCAGGGATCCCTACTTTCCAGACAACGAGGGGCAGGCTACAGTCAGGTTTCAAATGTGCTGGGGGCTCCATCCATCCCCCAAGAAAAATCAGAGGAAAATCCATGGAAGCTGTTCATATGACATACTTTATTTCCAATCTACAACCATTAAAAACCCTTTGTAAGTTTACACTGTACAGTTATTCTCATGTCTGAAATAAGACACAGGAGCAGGGAGAGCTGGTGGGTTGGAGACCACAGTCATTCTAGCACCCAATCCATCCTGGAAAGGAGCCTTAAAAGATAGGAGTGAGCAGAAGAGAACAGTGGACAGGAGAGGCAGACAGTTTGGCCAACGTTTCTTTCCCTGGACCCTCGACTGCAGGACCCTCACCAGGAAACCAGGCTGGACAGGAAGGGGGCTTCACAGTACTGACAGGAGTTGGGAGGGGAAGGATGGGAAGGAAGGACAGCTTCTGGCTCTCTTCCCCAGTCACTGGGGATCGGAGCTGATTTTTGGCACAATCTGCAAGATCTCCTTGGAGGTGGGAGGAGGAGGAGCTGGGGATTTAGGATTCTTTTCTTGAGTTAGTATTCTTTCCATCTGAAGAGGGACCATAAGCCTATGGTGAGGTTCCCAAGGGATAAATAGTGAATAGTGTCAGGATCTTTTTTTTTTTTTTCTCCTGCCCCAAAGACTGCCCACCCCCGCCTGGCTTGTACAACCTACATAACCTTTTATAAAACCCAGACAAGTGGGAGAGGTGAGCAAAGCTGGAACCAAGCCAGGGGCAGGAAAAGGAAAAATGTGTGCCTTCTCCCTGTCCTCCAGCTTCCAGGGAGGACATGGGTTCTGTTGGGGTGGGGTTGGGGGGCAGATGGGGAGAGTTCCCCCCAGTCTCTCAGGAGTCTCGAGTTGGTGTTTCTAACCTGTTTCTGGTCTGGGCCAGCCTCAGTCCCTCACCAGGCTGCACTAATTGCTAGTATAGGTCAGCAGTTGGCAAACTCCTGTTTTATCAGAATTATCCAGAGGGCCTTGCTTGCTGGGCCCCAGCCCAGAAGTTCGAATTAGGGAGGTCTCGGTGGTGCCAATACTTTGCATTTCTATCAAGTTTCCAGGTGATGTTCTAGCTGCTTTGAGAACCCCTGGGTACCCCATCCTCAGCAACCTGGCAAGGCCCAACCTCAGAGGCACCAAATGCCTGGGAAGCTGCTAGGAATCGTCTTGTGGTGAATCCCCTGTGCAGAGAAGTAAACTAAGGCACAGAGATCAGGGGCTGAGCTGAGAGAGGAGCCAGGATACCAGGGTCCAGTGAAGAGAGGATGGGGATGCAGGACCCCAAAACATGAGGGGTGCCCTAAGGCCCCAGGGATCATCCTAGTTCTCATCATATTATTATACAACCTAAACTCAGGGAAGTTAAGAGGTCTGCCCAGACCTGAGGCCAGCCTCAGACTCCTGACTGAGGTTTCTCCTCATGGAAGCAGTTTGAGAGATGTCAGAATGAAGTGTGACAAGGCAGCCAGGCCTGACTGATTACCTTGGCCCTTCAAGGATGCTTAGAGGAAACCAAAGCTCCTTTACTTGGGGTCTGGGATCCAGAGAACTGGTGAAGGGCAGGAAGAGACAGGAGCAGGGTCAATGGGATAAATAAGGGATGGTCCAGAGAGTATGAGGGAGGAGTGGGGAGGAGCCCTGGGCACAGACAAGTCTCAGGCCCAACATCATGTCTCCTTCAGTTGTTGGATCTGTGGGCTTTGCAAACTGCAAGCATTTGGGGAGAGGATAGGGGCAGAGCCAGGGTCAGCTACAGGTTCAGCCAGGATAGGTTAGCTGTTCTGGAGCTGGTGAGGCCCAAAGGAGAGCAGAGAGTGGTGGGGTGCCAAATGGACAGACATGGACAGATGACCAGGGAGAAAAGAACCCAAGCCAGGCTGCATCTCCTCAACCAAGGAAGGCCATGCAGGACTGGACAGGAAAGAGGCCTAAAATGGGGATCCAATACCCCTCCCCCAAACACACACACACACACACACACACACACACACACACACACACACACACATTCTCACTCCCAGTGGGAAATGCTGGGGTCCTTCTGGAAGGCTGTGGATAGAGAAGATAATGTGACTCAAAGGTGGGCTGAGGAGATGTTTCTGGACTGGGGGTTGGCTGGGGCCGGGCCCAATGAAATGGGCAGGTAAGGCTGATGCCACCTAAGGCATTGGGGAAAGGGGCCCCCTTTGGTGTGAGAAAACACAAAATAAAACAGAACCCAGAAAACACCCCCAGATCTGAAAGCAAACATGAGTTGGAAGACCACAGCCTAAGGCACTTCCCTGATAAGACAGGAATGTGAGCCTGGGGTCAGGGGGAGGGAGGGTGTGAGGTGCTGAGGTTACAGGGAAATGCATGAGAGGGGAGCAGCACTGGGGAGACTGTTCTAGGGGGGCTGAGGGCTGAATGCGACAAGCTCGCTCAGGGTCCAGAGGAGGAAAATCTGTCCACTGGCCAGGGCACTGGGTCTGCGGACAGGAACCAGCAGAGAAGAGGAGGTGGGGGGGGGGGGGGGAAGGAGAGGGAGGATATGACGACACTCGACTTTGGGAGACGTTGATAAAAGAGAGGATGGATGAGAGGTGGAAAGTGAGCAGATAGAGGGAGAGGCACAACCAAGATCACAGATGCCAAAACCTGGGTTCTGGTCCTGGCTCTGCCTCTAGTTTGCTGTGTCCACTTGGGTGAGCCATTCTCTTCTCTGGGCCTGATTCCTCATTTAAAAAAGGTGAGATTAGACACAAAAATGGCAAAGCATGAACAATTCCACTTACACAAGGTACCCAGAATAGGCAAATTCATAAATAGACTAGAGTTTACCAGGGGCTGGGGGAAGGGGGAGTGGGGAGTGTTTAGTGAATGGCTTCAGTTTGGGATGATGAAAAAGTTCTGGAAAAAGACATTGGTCATGACTACACAAGACTGTGAATGTACTTAAAATGGCTACTAAGTTTTATTGTATGTATATTTTGCCACAATTTAAAAAAAGTTAACGGGGATGGTTCAGATGATCTTTTGGCCCCCTTTCTACTCACTGAGACTAGTGAGGGGGATGTCACCCCCAGAGTCAGGTCACTGAGGGGCTAGCCTGGGGACAATGATTGGACCATTTCACATGTGAATAGAATCTTAAGTTTTTCCAAGTAGACTTGCAGGCACAGTATTGTATTTGGTCCTCACCACAAAACACGTGAGGTAGAAGGACATTATCCCCACGTCATAACTGGGGAAACTGAGGCATAGAGTAGCCACATAATCTGAGTCCAAGGAGGTCATTCAAGTTGGTGGCAGTTGGTGGTTTGTGTGTGTGTGTGTGTGTGTTTTAAGTCACCTGGAAAACATCCTTACACCTTAGGTTCATTTGTTGAAGTATCAGTTTGTTTAGTGGTCTCTGAAGGACACATGCTATAAGTTAATAGCATGAGAGTTGTCTCCTGGGTCCAATATGCTTGCCTCCCATGACTGGACAATCAGACTGATGGAACCTGATGTTTCTCTTTGTAGAATGGATGCCAGAAAACTCAAGAGTAAATTTTAATTGCATGGTTATGAGAATTACATCAGACAGATTTGGGGAATGATAATTCTTCTTGCTTTTTTACTGTTTACTTATGTTGTCTTATTAAACTAAGATTTTAAAAGATTATATTTCTGCTGTATTATGCCTCTGATTGTAAGTTACCTCTGATGGGTCATGGAAATTCTTGGGGTTATTAGGCCAAATTAGAGCTGGGTTGAGGATTAGTTCCTCAATTAGTTCCCAATTCCAGCACAGTGCTCTTTTTAAGATAGAGAATCGTGGTTATTGGTTAAAAGGAAGTGGTCTATTGATTAGGGCTGTGAACAAAACAGGGGGCCACTCTGGGATCTCCCTGGGACTTTATTAAACGTGTAGGTTCCTGGCCCAGAAAGCTGTATTTTTGGACATGTCCCCCAAGGATCCTGATTCAAGGGGTCCCCAGACTACCCTCTGGATCACAGCTCCAGTGAATCAGGGTGGATTGCTTTCAAGACTGGGTTGGGCGATGGCATGTTCTAGGTGCCCTGTATCCGCACAGAACCCCCAGTAGGGCAGTGGGTTTACAGAGTTTGGGACAGAGTTTGGGCTTGGGATCCAGTGGACTGAGGTTCTAGTCTAGACTCGATGATTTCCCATTACATGACTCTGGGATGAGACCTGCACCTGTTACTTCGTTTGCAAAATGGGAACACTAACCCCTGTCCTGTCAAGGCTGCCTCCCAGAGTTGGGGGAGCAATTTTAAATAGTGCTCTAGGGGGAGTGTGTCAGGGATCAGCGTCATCATAATTAACGAAGAGGCAGCGGATAAAACTTGGCAGGGGGTGGGGGGTGAGGCTGGAAAGGGGGACATTCTGGATGGGAAGGGAGAAGGAGGAAGAGCCTAGAAGTTGGGTAGGCAAGAAGAAAACAGTCCGAGTGATGAAACTATAAAAGGTGCATGGGGCAGGCATGATGGAGCCACATGTGGTCAGGGTGTAAGAGGGTCAAGTTTTGAGGTCCTCAACCGTCACCTGGGAAAGCAACTGACAGGGGAGGCATTAGGGTCAGCCCATTTTGAGTTCAGTGAAAGTAAGAACTTTTTTTTTTTTTTTTTTTTTTTTTTTTAAGTAAGAACCCTTAATAGTGTTTTGAAATTGGTCATCCTTTGGTGGAAAAGGAATTGGAGGGAAGGGGTTGCTGGAGATGGGGAACTGGATTCTGCTGCTTTGTGCATACAGGGTCTAGAGCAAAATGGTAGGCGCATCCAATTGGCTTTGAAAGAGGTCTCAGGAGAAACATGAGGTCGCCCAATTTAGGGTCAACCATGCCAATGGTCTTCCATTTACCCCTACCAACTCCTGCCAACACCATGGGCCCACGCCTAGCAGTCTGTAGGGGATTAGGACCCTAGGGTTCCTTGGGACTTTGGTTGAAGAGCAGAGATGGGGAGAAAGGAGGAAGAAGACTAGGAGAGAAGGAGAGGAGAAAAAGGCAGGTGCCCAGGAGTGAAAAGGCGGAGGGATAGCAGAAAAGGGAAGAGGGTAGTGTTCTTTCCTGGGACCCCAATGTTCCAGGGAATCCCCACTGTGAATCAGGCAGTTTTCTGCTTTGGGAATGTTACCAAGGCTTAAAGAAACAAACGAACTTAGAAATTACATTCCAAAAGAGTAGTTTTTACAAACCAAACCCTCCCCACCCCCAAAAAAAGAAAGCACAGTTACTAATTAAAATGCTAAAAATCAAAAACCAAATGAATATTTACATACAACATTTTCAACCCCATCAAGCTCCGTGTCCAGAGGCTTCTGTAAGAAGAGTGATGAGTGACCTTGCACGGTGGCATGCAGAAGTAGAAACTGGGACTTTATTGAAAACCAAGATCTGGAGCGTCTGACGCCAGCTGGGGGCCGGGCGGCCAGGCGCTGAGACAAGGATGGCAAAGGACAGTCTTGGACAAGGACGATGGTAAGGCTGAGCGGTCTGTAGGCTGCAGGGTTCAGGTCCCATGAGGATTTCCCTCCAAGGCTGGGGGTGCAGACTCCCTGGCCCTCCACAGCGTGGGGAGGTGGCAGAAGGCCTCTGGTGGCGGGTGGCCTGTGGTGAATCTCCTCACGCGGAGAGAACCCTGGAGGGGCCCCTGGACCTTTATGGTGGGAGCACCACATCCCAGAGGGGCCTGGCCCATGGCTCCCCTGGTCTGCCTGCTCTGCCCGTACAGGTCACTATGTGATTGGCTGAACATGACCCTGGTGTTCTTCTGGTAGGGAATGGAGATGAAGGACTTTGGGTGACTGATGGCCTACAAGGGCAGAACTAGAAGCAGGCGGTAGTGCAGAGGCTTCTCCTGAGTCCTGGGGGCAAGCTAACCAAGCTGCTGGCTTCTTGGTCTTCCTCGCGGGGAATTCCACAGACAAACCATTCCATCCCGGTATTTCCACTCTGGACATCCAGGCAGTTAGAGGAGGGCCACGCCTCTGCGTGCGTGTGTGTGTGTGTGTGTGTGTGTGTGTGTGTGGCCAAAATGGGTTCCCTGGCACCAAGGGGAAGGCCACCTGAGGCCTCTTGGCCACACTGCAATGAGCCACGTCACAACCTCTCCGACGGCTCGGGCAGCTCGCGTGTGCCTCGGGGGAGGGTGGGCAGTGGAGTTGGGGCTCGGAGAGGAGCCATGAGAGGTCATAAGGCTAAGAGAGGCTGGTGAAAAGGCTGGCAGGCTGGCAGACACTCTCAGATCCATGTGCAAAGCTGCAATAAACAACATTCTCGAAATTCAGTCCTGTCTTCCTGCGGATTCTCATGTGGGGAGTTTGGAGAGGTCTCCATGCTCTTGAGAGAGTCTGAGTAATCCATGTTTGACGCAAAAACCAAAAAAAAGTGTCAGATCGGGGGGTGGGGGGAGAGAAAATGAGAAGAGAAATGGAGAATGTCTGGTGATGTGGGTCCTGCCCTCCAGCTGGTCAGTGAGCATTTACAGACTGGCTGCCAGGGGCCAGGCAGGTACCAGGTGTGGACTGAGAAGCTGTGCTCTGAGGCCAACGGTGAGGAATGCTGGGGGCGCCAGAGCAGGGCTCCAGCGCTGGAGGGGAGGGGCCAACCTGACCAGGAGGCCGGAGCTCAGCTGCTGAGTTGTCTCTCCACAGGGGGGACCCCACACCTGCCCATGGTGTTCAAAGCCTCTCATTATCCCAGCGGCAAGAATACATGTCTTCATTGCCAATAAATTACCTTAGGGACTTTGGGGGGTAAATTAAATTATTAAAATAAAGTAAAACCACCTTAAATATTTATAGTAAGAAAGATTCAAATAAACAAACCTAGGCAAGAAATGTGTTACCACCGTGTCCCGGGACACCAGCCTCGTGGAGTGCTCCTGGGCCCGGCCTGGCCAACGGGGAGTCTCTTACTGGGAATATCTCTGCCCTCCTCCTCCAGCCACCGGATGTAAACACAGCGGAGATGTGGCGCCCTCCAGGGTGCTGGGAAAGAGGCCTCAGGGACCAAGGCAGTGGGCTGTTAGGCAGTTACCTGTGCACCAGATCTTGAGAGTGACTCGACCTATTTCTGCCCTCAAGGAATATCCTGGGAAGGGAGGCAGTTCCAGGGGCTCCCGGCTCTGAGCCCCACACCTTCTCACCTTCTCGTCCTGCTGCATGCAGGCTCTGGGCAGGGAGATCCAGAGCACCAGGATTCCAAGCAGGCTCTTGGCCCTGGCTACTGCCCTATCATACCTCCTGGAGTCACAGCGGTCCAAAGAAGTGGGGCTGGGAGGAGGAGGCCGTGGGGGAAGGAAAGGGTGGGAATCATGTCTGGCCCAGCTCCACCAGGAACCCCAAGCCGAGTCCTACATCAAAACCCGTGCTTCTCACTGGGGTTTCCTCCCACGAAGGGGGTGTGATTGGTGACGATCATCTCTAGGAGTCCTTTCCCTGAGGAGTGTGTCCTTTCCTCAGCTCTTCTGAGAGGTGGGTGTGGGCAGAACCAGGCAAGATGCTCCTTTAAGACCCAGGGACAAGCTCTCCATGGATCTCTCTGGAGACACTTCGAAGCACGGTTTTGGTCTTTCTCCTACTCAATGCCTTCCCTGGAGGAGCCAGAGATCGCCACCCCATGGTCAGCAGGAGACCCCACTTTACCTTGGCGTTTGAAAGCTGTTCTCTAGCAGGGGTGCAGCTGCTCTCCCCCAGGGCGAGGCGATGCGGAGGGCATGACCCTCCTCTCCGCTGGTTCCTTTCCGCCATCCATGCGCTGGGCTGGCTGAGGCCGGGAGCTCCGCTGCGGTCACTCGCTGGGAGGGGCTTTCTCCTCCCCACCCCAGCTGGACTCTGACGGGTGCAGCCTGCACTTGGAAGGAGAGTGGCGAATGGCAGAGCGGGAGGGCCGGGCGAAGCAGGAGGTGAGAGACTGGGCGCTGCAGTCACAAACGGCATCCTAGGAGGAGGAAGAGAGGAAATCAGGAGGAGCCAGGAAGGACAGACCAGCCAGGGGTTGGAGGACCAGCCAGGCAAAGAGCTGACTCCATTGTGCCAGGGACCAGGTCCCAGGGACGGTAGCCCCTCTTTGGACAATTTTTAGAAATTGTTTTTCTTGACAATTATGTGATACCATAATCAATACATTTTTTTTTATATATTTTATTGATTTTGTACAGAGGAAGGGGGAGAGATAGAGAGCTAGAAACATCGATGAGAGAGAGTCATCGATCAGTTGCCTCTTGCACACCCCCTACTGGGGATATGCCCGCAACCAAGGTACATGCCCTTGACCGGAATCGAACCCGGGACCCCTCAGTCCCCAAGCCGATGCTCTATCCATTGAGCCAAACCGGTCCCGGCTCAATAAAGAAATTTTTTAAATAAATAAATAAGGCACAGTTTATAAGCCCCCTCCCCCCAAAATAAAAATTTGGTTTTCTTCTATCAGAGCAGTAATGAGTGTTCATAAATACTTTTCCATAATGTAATAAATTCTGGAGAATACAGGGTACCAAGGTGATGCCACTGAACACAGACACGGCACAACTGACTCTCACAAATCACACGGGCAGGCTCCAGCACACCATTGTGGCAGTAGCGATGTGAGCACACGCCCTTCCTGTGGGGGATGTTGGCCATCTCTAGTCCTCACGAGCCTCTTGGTACCCGGACCATGTATCATTCCAGGTCTGGGGCCTTCCGAACCCGGTCTCAGAGTAGCACAAGAACTTTCTGAAACACATTACCTCTATTTTCTGAAGACCAGAAGATCTGGGACCTTGCAAGCCAACCCCACCTCCCAAGGCAAAGGGCACCGCCACCCACCTACCTCGTTGGGAAGGACCGGCGTCCCGTCTGCGTCCCGGAGGATACCATCTTTCCCCACCTGGGGGAGCCCGGAGAGCCTGGCCTCCTCGCCGCTGCCTGACTTGGGTGCCTTCTTGTTCAGGATCCTGGCCATGCCCTCCGGCTGATGGTAGCTGGCCGGGGAGAGGGGCTCCGGCTTCTTGGCGCTCTCCTCCCCCGCCACCGCGGTGGGGCTGGGGGCCCGGCCGCACACGTTGCGGAAGAACTCCTGCACGATGCCGTACTTGGGGGGCTCGGGCTTGGCCCGGGCCTCGGACATGCCCAGCTTCCAGACGGACTCCGTGCTCCCCGAGTGCTCCACCACGCTGAAGAGGCTGGACAGCCCGTCGTTGATGTTCCTCAGCACGGGGCTGTCCCGCGTGGTGGTGGAGCGGGCCCAGGCCGAGCCATTCTGCTTGCCCTGGTGCAGGTTCCACAGGCTGCGGTCCTTGGCGCCGTCCAGCTTGGACACGGACCGCCGCTGGAGCTTGGGCGAGCCGTACTTGGGCGAGCAGCAGGGCCGCTCGATGCGGGCGTGCACCTTGTCCAGGGAGGAGGAGATCTGCTTGCTGCGCACGGACACGAGGGAGGAGCTGCGGGGGGACCAGCTCTTGCCGTGGAGGCCGCCGCGGGGCAGGTCGGTCTGCAGGCCCACGCTGACCATGCGGGTGGTCTGGGTGCCCACGCTGGCCAGGCCCACCGTCTGGCTGGACGTGCTCTTCACCTTCCTCTCCAGCGAGCCCGAGCGCATGGCCTGGCGCACGCAGTTGGTGATCTCCTTCATGTCGTCGCTCATGTTGCCCGATATCTCCAGGTTGTGCAGGGCCGCGGGGAACCCCGGCCCCGCGGCCGGGGAGCCGCCCCCGGAGCCCGCGTCCAGGCGCTGCCGGGAGAAGTTGCACAGCCAGCGGCCGTAGGAGCTTTCGGCCAGCCCGTTGGCCTCGGCCGACTCTTTGGGCTTGGCGGTGGTGAAGAGGAAGCCGGGCTCGATGATGATCTTGCCCTCCCGGTCGTGGACCACGGGGACGCCCAGGCGCCGGGCCACGGGGGGGCTGTAGTAGACGCGGATGCCCGTCTTGTCCGGGGCCGTGTAGCTGCGCTGCATCTGCCTCCCGGCCGGGTCCTGGCAGGCCAGGGCCCCCAGGCGGCCGCAGTCCCGCGGCTGCGCCTGGGCTTCCTTCTCGGAGTCCACCGGCTGGGCGCCCACAAAGGCAAAGGCAGGGTTGTTGGGCAGCTTCTTGCCCCGGGCGGCTTCGCCGGCCAGGTAGGGGGAACAGTCAAGCAGACTTTCAAACTCAGACATGGAGGAGACAGATTTGGTCCTGGGAAGAGCAGAGGAGGGAGGGTGGAGTGAGTGGGAGATAACATGCCCCCGAGCAAGGCACGCTGGCCTCTGTCCCTGGTTCTGGTGCTGCCCCAGGGCTGGGACCACAGCTGTCCTGCTCGCCTCTTGTGGAATTCTCTGTCGGTGTCCTGCCCCACACCCCGTATGCACTCACACCTACACACCCTGCATAGCACACTCTGAGCATCCGAGGGCTTTTCCTTCTGACTGCAGGAGCACCCGTGGTTTCCACACAGAGGAAGCTGGGAAAAGTCAGAGTTTAGGCCCTTACACGTAGCCCTCGACAAACAGTGGGTGGAATTGGGTGAGATTCCGTGTTCCTTGGGTGGGAGAACTCTGAGCTGCATGCTCTGCTCTGGCTCCCGGAGTTCCTCACTGAAACTGAGCTCAGGTTGCCCGTGGAATGATAACGCCCTCTCTCCTGGCTGCCTTCCCTTCCCTGACTCACTTCCAGGTGTTTCCTGGAATCCACTCCCAAATACATCATTTCCACTCAAACCCT